TCTTAGGAAGACAACACACCTCCGCTGTGCCATTGGTTTACCCCTCCCCAACCATCCCACTCAGAAGGAAACCCCAGTGCCTTCCTCTGGCTTAGCTGACCTGGTCACATCGCCTACCACTCCCCAGCCTGTCCCCTGTGCACCAGACATACGGATTTATTTTCTGTTTTCAAATCTGCCAAAATTATTCCCACCTCAGGGCCTTTGCACCAGCTGTCCCATGGCCTGAAACCCCTGCTTCACACCTTTTCACTGTCCTTACGTTCTGACCTAAATGTCACTTCCTCATTGAGGCTGTTGTAGGCAACTGAGTTAGAAATATAGGCAGTCAAACAAGGCTGGGCCCTCAGAAGGAGCCAGTGCGGAAGATGAGATACCTTGTAACTGTGGAGGAGACAGGCTCCTCCACTGCGGGTGAGACCTCAAGACAAAAGATAAAACAAATGCACCCACATACCTCCCTAAGGATAAACATCAGGGATGGATATTCTAAATAGGTCTCTATCACCTGGAGAAAGCCAGGAAGAGTCCCTAACTCAACCCGCTACAGGAAAAGCCTCTGTTGTGTATTCTTGCCCACTTGTTACACGACTTGCTTCCCTAGCTGATTCTGATATAATTAATTTTACCTGAGCAATTACACTTGTAATCTTATTGGCTGACCACAGTTTTGTCCCACCTCATGCCCACCTCTCCAGTTCCCATGTTTCCCACCTTGGACCTGCCTCACGTCATGGTTTTGCTCTATAAAAATCCCTTAAAAAGGCAGGTGCCTTGGCAACTCACTCGGGACCCTTTCTCTCTCTCTCTTTCTCTCTCTCTGTCTCTCTCTCACCCTCTCTCAGACAGAAGCTTTCTTTCTCCCAATAAATATATTCTGCTCTTAACCTCTGTTGTTCCAAACTTCATTCTTCGATTTTAAAGAACATGAACTCGTCCCAGGTATCTTTCAGGTTGGGAGTTTCTTACCCTATATCAAGGTCTTCCCTGAATCCTAGTCATTCCCTGTCACACTGCCACACTTTTATTTTTTGCCTTGGAACAAGAAAGTGATATGTGACCTACTTCCTGTATGCTTGTTTGTCCAGCTCCCCCACTGCGCAGGTTCCTGGGGAGCAGGCACCAGTGTGTTTGCTTTGTCCAGGGCTCCAGCCCCACTACCAAGAATAGCAGCTGGCATACTTTAGAAAGAGAAGGGCTGACACTCCAGCACTATGGCCTTTGCAGAAATGAACAAAGTAAAAAGAGGTTGAGATAGGGGCCCCAAGGAATCTCCAGAAGAGTCCACAACCCCAAATACACAAGTGAGGGGAGTCGAGTTTTGAAGCAAGCCTATCTCTTCACTGTCTCTAAGCCTCTTCCCATAATAAAAACTCAACCTCTTGAAAGCTGAATGAGAAAAAAACTGAATGAGAAAAGAAAGGAAAAAATGAATACTCCTCTATCCAGAGATATATCAATGTGGCCACTCCCCTATTCTGCAGTTAGATTTAGGTTCGTCCTAGACCCTGCTAGTGTATGAATGGTGGGTTCTCTTCCCTTCCGTCCTGGAGGGTGGATGGACGCTGAGATGTCTTACGGCACAGACAGAAAGTATCAGTGCCACAAAGGAAGGAGGCCATGCCATCCTCCTGCAGGCCCTTGAGTTACCAACTGGGAAACTGATGTCTAACAGAGAGAACTACAAGCCTGCGGCCCCGGTTTAACAAGTTATAACCTCACAAATCTACAATGCCCCTGATTATTAAAGACACCTGCAGTTTATGTACCACTGAGATAGAAAAAAAATGCTTCCAATTCAGTTAGGATACACTATTGATCCTATAATGTATCTGATGTCCAGGGTACTAAAACGTTGCATGTCTGGGAGGGGTTAGAAGCTAGGTCTCAGATTCGATGACAGGTTATTCCTGTCACATGCTGTCACTTCCTGCTTTATTGGGCCATGGCCCAAGGATGCTCAGGCTGCACTGAACTGATGTCCTGAGCCCCCTCTCCTCCCCTGCAGAGCTTCCTAACTTCCATAGTATTGCCATTTATGCTGATGAGTCTTTGTTGGGGACTGTCCCATGCATTGTGGGACAGCAGGTGCCTCCCTTCAATAATGACAGCCAAAAATATCTCCAGACCTTGCCAAACATCCTTTGGAAGGCAAAATCCCCCCGGAGTTAAGATGGGACACTTAGCAAGTATGTGGTATGCTCTACACAAACAAATGGACCCATGACGGAGGCTCTGAGTTAAATGTTCTAATTCATCCCAGGCCTTCCTGGAGCTTGCAGGAGCAAGCGAAGCTGTGTGTGTGACTCCAAAGCCCCCTCCATAGAGTACTTGATGGCCTCAGGTTCCAGGGACTTTGCCTTGGGAAACACCACCCAAGGCCCCTGAGTGGGGTGGAGGGGGCCAGTCTCTGTCACACACTCAGCCCAGCCTGGGTCACCTCGGGGATGCCGGCTCCAGATCTGACCCTGTCACTCACCTCCTTGCCCTTCTTTGCCTCCTGCAAAGGCCTGGGACCCGGTTCAGTGCTGGGCACGGGGCTCTTGACTCGCTTGGGGGGTACAAGAGGGAGTTGGTCGAGTGCAGGCTTCTGCACAGGTCTGAGCCACCTCCTCCCAGTCCTCCCTCTGGGGCAGCAGGGAGGGGACCAAATGCTGTCTGTGGACGGAGAGATGACCCTGCGACTCAAAGACCAGCACCCAACAACTCCACCAGCCAGTGTGGCAGGCCGTGGTGGTCACAGCTACACCCGTCACGTCCTTAGCTCAGGCCTCCCAGTGCCCACGGCACTGCCCTTTGCTCCTGCATGGACCACACCAGCAGGAAAAGACAGCTGAGATTTCTTGTTAGTGTCCGGCTGTCCTGGAGCCACCAGGAAATAAAGCCACACCTCACGTCACTCACACTATCGTGGCTATTGTTTAAAAAGCCCACAGAGTCAGCCAGGACAGCGAAGGTGATTGCCTGGATGGCCCCTGCACTCAGCAGCTGCAGCTCAGCCTGTGGAGGCAGCGCCCAGCCTCCTCAGGATGTCGACGGCAAGCACCACGCTCCTCTCCTGTGCCCCGGAGCTCTTTTTTAAAAAGTTATTATATTAAAGTATCGTATATATGTTTCCAATAGGAAACAGTCTTCGCTTTTCACACCTTGCTTGAGTCACCAGAGGGACAGATTTCCACTTCTGAATTCTGCTGGCAACTTTCATACCCCTGGATGATCTATGTGATCAGACACTTTTATTTCCAAGGGCACCCCATAGTGGACAAGCCCAGACTGCCTGTCGAGTAAGGGAAGGACCTAGTCCCTGGCAAGAAGCCGCTTCTAGCTTGTACTTCTTTTGGTTAGCTGGGCTGCTTTGGGGAAAAGCTTGGACCTCTGTTTTTTCCTCCTACAGCTTTCTGTTTCCTTGTTTATTTGGCAGTATTAGATACTGAATCCTCGGCCTTTGCACTGAGCTGTATCTTCAGGACTTTTAAAAAAATCTGTTTTTGAGATAGGGTCTCACTGAGTTGATAAATTTTCAGGCTGGGCCTGAATTTGAAATCCTCCTGCCTCAGCCTCCCAGAGTGCTGGAGTTCCAGGTGTGCACCACCACGCCCAGTGTTTCCCAGAACTTTATGAGGATTTTCCCTTCCCCCACATGGCTGTCATAAGTGAAGGATGTCACTGCTATTCCAGCTTTTCATCTCCTGTTGGCATCCCCCCCCAATAGACTCTGTCACCCCCTCGGGCTCCTAACATTTAAACTGCCAGCTACCCTTTGCCTCCAAGTTCATCTATCTATCTATGTATCTATCTATGTATCTATCTATGTATCTATCTATCTATCTATCATCTATCTATCATCTATCTATCTCAGCATTGGTATCTCAGGATTGAACCCAAGGCCTTCATACTGAGCTATATCCCCAACCCGTTTTTAACTTTTTATTTGGAGATATGGTTTTGCTAAATTGTCCAGACTAGGATCAAATTCACAATCCTCCTGCCTCAGCTTCCTACAGTGCTGGGGTTACAGGGTGCACCACCCTGCCAGCTCCACATTAACTCCTAAAGGCAAAAGCCAGCAAATGTGGTTGACCCACCACATGACACATAGCTATAATCTTAGCTACTTGGGAGGCTGAGGCAGAACAGTTGCAAATTCAAGGCCAGCCTGGGTATCTTAGTGAGACTCTGTCTTAAAATAAAAAATAAAAAGGGTTTGAAATGGAGCTCAGCACTCCCTGGGTTCAATCAGGTACTATCAAAAAAGAGAGAGAAAGAGAAAGACCGCACCTCATTCTCAGAGAGTGCATGGCCCGGGAGAGTTAACAACCAATAGAGGAAAAATTCTGAGCTCAGTGAAGCAGCACACAGCCGTGATCCAGAGTGAGGGGACGAGAGCCCTAAACCAGCAGTCAAGCAGGGCTTCCTGGAAGAGGTGACGTTCTAAAAAGGCCAAATTCAGAAGCCGTTCTCCCTGCGGGTGGGTCCTTCAGGCTGCCTCCTGAAATCTCAGAACTAGATGTCACCTAAGAAACCTCTGGATAAACCTCCAACCTATCATAGAAATGTGTACCTCAACCACTTCCACTTGATTTCCTCTGTAGACAGAGAACTCACATTCTACCACTTCCTTTCCAGAAAGTTCTGTTTGAAAATTGCCCTGTAAAAATCCTCTCCCCTTTTACCTTTGATTCCTTGATACCTACAAGAGCCCCGAGGAGTGGTTCTGTCCCACCTCAGGAAAAAACTCTGATGTCACTTCACCCTTTCACTTCTTTGTCCTAAGGGCCTGAGCAGGCAAGGGTTGCAAAGCCACCAGAGCTGTTGCCGGTGCTGCCAGGGTGTCCCCAACCCTCCACAGGCTTCCAGAGTCTCCTCAGCCTGACCTTTCCCTGGCGCTGGTCCAGAGGAGCCCACACCAGGCTTCAGGCCCCGGGACCAGAATCTGGGCCTTTCGAGTGAAGGCAAGTTTGACCCTGAAACGCCCCGCCCGGTGAGTGCACGCACAGTACCTGTTGGAGGCAGAGAGCTCCTGTGAGGGCCAGGGCTGGCTGAAATCCCAGGAGAACTGCTGGGGCGTTCCCAGGTGGTCTCTGGTCAAAGAAAAAATAAAATCATGATAAGAATTTCTTAGGGCAGAACCTGAGTATCACAGAGTAGAACGAGATGGTCAGAGCAGGAAAAAACAGATTGGCTGTTACCTTCCTCCCCGACCCGGCCACACAGAAGCCTGCCCCCTTCTGTCCCCCGTGACCATGCAGCTTCTTTTGCTGGGGGCTCTTCTCCCTGGGGCAGAGCCAGAGGAGGCAGGCTTCTGTTGGGGGCTCTGAAACGTCCCCAGAACCCTAACTCCCACTCCAATACGTCCTGTGTCCTCAGGGCTCCAGACTCTTGTCCTGGCACCCCTGCTGCAGACTGAGCATCTCCCCCAAATGCCCATGGTCACCCGAAATCCCAAAGGAGTCCTGGTCTAGGATCTGCCGCAAGAAGGGGTCCTGTGCCATCAGGGTGATGTCTGTGGACCTTCCCCACTCTACTGTTCCAGGTCTTGTTTGAATTACAGCCACCTCACCCCCTTCTGTTGCTCAGTGATGCAGCCAACCAGAAACAATTAAATTAACACTGCAGTTGAATTATTGTCCCCTGGGGCCACCGTACCCATTCCACTGCCGTGCGCAATTTCTTATACAATGATAGTGATAAAAAGCAGTACTTTCTCACTATAGACACTCTGATAATACATGAAAACACAAAGAGAAAAATGAGTATACTCTTCCCCATGAGAGGTTATTACTACCGACACTTTGGTATCCACAAGCCCACTTGCTCAAAAGGCACAAGTTCATCTTTAACACAAGACAAAGTCCTCCTGCACTTTCTTTTCATAGGTCAACTTCTGTTGCAGGAGCTGGATAGCTCAGTGCTTTGTCTCTACTGCCAGCAGCAACTGGCTGAGTCTGGATCCCAGCTCTCCTCTTTTTTTGGCACCAGGAATCGAACTCAGGACCTTGAGCTTGCCAGGCCGGCACTTGTGCCACTGAGCTGTGTCACTGTACCCCAGCTCTCCTCTTAACCTCAGCATAACCTGGGCCACGCTCCCTAGCTTCTCAGGGCTTTAATATGCCCCTCTGCCAAATGAGTTCAATAGTGGTGCACAGCCAAGGGAAGCGCATCGCTGCTGAGTGCCGGCATATAACTCCCAGCACAAAGTCGTTTCTAAGGCAGACCTGTGTGTACATGGAAATAACATACTGCAAGATTCTATTACTGAAAATGCAATGGTTTCAACACTGAAAACAAAAACAAAGCCCTCTGATGGCTTCTTTCATTTCAATTCAGGAGAAGTATTTCTTTTTCCTTCTCAGTTTTATTCCTAAATCACTGAGTAGCTCTGGCCAAGTCACCCCACATCTCTGCTCTCTGACTTTTCATCTGAAATGAAAGAGTTAGGCTAAATGGTCTTGTAGGCCCTATATTCCTGCCTCCCAGCTCTGACGGGTTTCGGGATGTCCTCTTCCTGTCTTAAGGGAGAAATAACAGACTTGAGGGTGAGTCGGGGAAGCAGCCAGGAGGAAGGGACCAAAACCCAGAGAGCTGTGGGGTCTCTGACAGGGGACGATCTGCAACAAGGCTGCCAGGGGGTACAGGCCCTTCCCGAGGAGGAGGGTATCAAGGCTGGGGAGAGACCAGCAAGGAGCCCCGGAGGCGGCCCCTGCTCAGCTGCTGGCAGGCACGGGCAGCCATTCACAGCGAAGCCGGGCAGCCTCCAGCACAGCCTCAGCCCTCATTTTGCTGTTCTCGCTGTGACCCGGATGACAATGGGGCTGTAACGGAGCATGAAGCGAGTTAAAGTGTAGCATGCCTGGGATGCCGTCGGTGCAGAGCAGGACAAGACAGCCGGGCTGGAGATGGAGATGGGACGGAACTTCCAGAAAGCAGGAACACGAAGAGGGGCTGGGGTTGGCATCAAAAAACGTGAGGAGCCTCCTAGGAAGCAGATGTGCCTCCAGCCTCAGCCACTTGCTAAGGAGACCTCTTCTCTTCTGCTGCAGTGTTACAGGCAGCGGAGTTAGATAGAAATATTGTAGGCAGTCAGACAGGGCCAGGCCCTCGAAGGAGCCAACATCAAAGACAAGGTAAGATACCTGTGGGCCAGACCTCAAGACAAAGGATAGACAAACACACCCTCTTACCCCCAAGGGATGGGCATCAGGGATTGATAAGAGTCCCTGACCCAACCCCTTACAGGAAGAGCCCCTGCTCTGTATTCATGCCCGCTTGCTCTCTGACCGGCTTCCCCATTTGATCCCAAGTTAATCAGTTTTACCTGAACAATTCTTATTGGCTGACCATAGTTTTGTCCATTTTCCCCTACCTTGGACCTGCCTCACCTCATGGTTTTGCTCTCTAAAAGTCCCCAGAAAAGACAAAGTTGGGGGGTAACCCACTCAGGCCCCCCTTTTGTCCCTCTCTTGGACAGAAGCTTTCTTTCCCTCAATGAATATATTCTGCTCTTAACCTCCGTTGTTCCTAAAATTCATTCTTCAGTTTTACAGAACATAAACTCGTCCCATACGTCATTCAGGTTGGGAGTTTTTATTTTCCTGTATCAGCAGGACTGGCAGCTTGATTGCCTGGAGGCCACCTTGTCACCTCTACACCCCTAAGGTCATCCTGGACTCTACTCTCCTGCCTTTTCCTCCTGGGTCCCAGCCACCAGCGACCCAGCAACGGGTCCACCCCACTTCCCCGTCCACCCTCATCTAACTGATTTCTCTGACGACGCCCCTCCCTCACATCCCTCTCCTCTCTTCTCACCCATTGGCCGTGCTCCCTCCCCCGCGTTTCTGTCTCCCTGCCTCCTGTCTCTCTCCACCGGCACTCTGCCCACATGCAGCCAGCAGACCATGCGCCCTGCAGCCCAGCTCTCGCCATTGGTCACTCACTTGTGAAAATCTCCTTCCCACCCAGCACACAGGTTTACAGAAGGCACCACTCCACCCTCCTCCCAGCAAGGCACTGCAGGGTCCCGGCCCTGTCTGCCTGTCCAGACTGACTTCCTGCTGACCTCACCGAAGGCCCAGCGAGGCCCCACAGTGACCTCTGAAGATGCCTTCACTCTGTAGTTCATGTGTCCCTATCATCTCCCATCCCTCCCCTGGAAATCACAATCTCATGCACTTGTCGTCTCAACTAAAATGCTTGCTTTGCTATGCAGTCATCCCAGGTGGCTTCTTCCCCAAAATGTTGGGGTGGGTGCCAAAGGAAGCTGGGTTACCCAAGGCAATGCCTGAAGTGGGCAAAGGGAATGAGACTGTCAAAGGCTCACCAAAAAAAAACCCAAAAAAACAAAAACAAAAAAAACAACTGAGGGCTGGGGATTTAGCTCAGTGGCACAGTGCCTGCCTGGCAAGCGCAAGGTTGTGAGTTTGATTCCCGGTACCGGAAGAAACCAAAAAAAAAAAAAAAAAAAAAGGGCTTACCAAATCTCCTGCCTAAAACCAACAGTTCCATTGTTTTGTGCTAGACATGAACCCAGGGCCTTGTACATGCTAGGCAAGTGATTCACCGCTGAGCTATTTGTCTCCAGGCCTCTCAAATCCAACAATTCTAAAGCAAGCTCAGCGCTCCCCATGGGACAGGCTATCTTCACGGTAACTGCCTTGCTTTACCACTCCCTGCCCTCCCAGTCCTGCCTCCCTGTTCAGCCTCCTGCACAGATTCGTCTCAAACCTGTCTGGGAAGCTGACCTCAGACCCCGATGCACACATCCCACCCAGCTCGCATCTAGGAAGTCAGCACTTTGTCCACCTGTCAGACAGGGCAGGTCTCCACCTTAATTTCTGGCTCAACTTTGAGCACACAGTACCCACTGGATGGAGGCAAGGACAGATGGCCAGCAGGGGCTGTGCTCTGGGACCACACAAAGGAGATCCCTACCCGATGTGCTCCTCAGCCATTCAGGGACAGACAGATACCTGTTCCTCCTAAAGCAGAAAGAGACCCCAGGGCACCGTCCAAAATATTTTGCTGCCTCCACCCGCTTGGTGGCTGATGTCGCTGACCTCAAACAGAAGACCCACAGACTAATATACAGACAGTGCCATTTTGCCTCCCAGCTGCAGCAGGGACCCCACTTCCTGCCCCAATGGCTTCTTCCACCTATTTACCCAGCCAGCCATCACCTGAGCCTGCCACCTGCAAGCTACCGCCACATGCTGGGGACACAAAGGCAGAGCCTAACTTTAAGATACAAACAGCAGGGCCAGCCCAGTACTAAGTGGTTCTGAGGGTCCCTGGGGGGAGCTCTGAGCCCACAGAGGAAGTGGGGGCCTGTGGGGGGAACTCTGCGGTCCATGCTGGACCCAAGGGAATATAATTTCCTTTCATTTGCTGGCCTGGCTTGCTCCCAGTTCTCACAGAAGCTGGAGTCTCCAGAAGTACTGTCTACTCCGGTCTCCACCTGGGCTCCATCAGGAATAACACATCTGCCTGAAGGACAGCCTGGCTGATCTCCTAGTCTTGGCTGGATCTGACCAACCCAAGACACAAAGACAGCTGCAAGCCTTGAGCACAGAGGAACTGTGCCAGGCCAGGCCAGGCCAGGCCAGGAGGACATCTGGAGAGGGCCATGGGGCTCTGGCTGGGCGCCGTCACCGAGAGCGGGACCAATCCTCCAGATGGCCATACCCTCCACAGGAAGAGAGTCTTTTCTGTCCAGGCCTTTCGCAATAAGAAATGTGCTAATCTACTTACAGCACACCAGGCTTCCTGACCAAGCCAAAGCAAGACTCAAGTGGCAGCTCAGAGCCCAAGTGCCCTTGGACAGAGGCCCTTCTGCCTTTTCTGAGCCTCCATCCCCCGGGGCTTTGGTCATGCCAGGAATCAAGCCACACTCCCACTACCAGAGCCACTGCCGTGCAGGCTCTGGACACTGTGGGAAGCACAGTGAGATCAGGATGGGAGGGACGACCATGCCCAAGGGTCCCTCTCCCACCCAAGCCTGCTCACAATGAACACTTTTGCCTAATGGCAGTGACGCCTTTCAGACTCCTTCTACTGAATCCAGGGCAGTGAAACATACGTAAATGAC